TTCTAGCCACACATGGCTAGAACGAGATTACAAGTTTAAAAGATGGAAATAATGTGCAATTACAACTTACAAATACTAGAAATAATGTTTCCAAATGATTAATGATCAAACCCTTGCAAAAACCTTCGAAATCCCTTCTCAAAATGTGCTCTGATATGTTGTGTGTGTCCCTAAATGACCCAAGTCCCGAGATATGAAAAATAGGAAAAACTACCAAATGGCAGTTATGGGTCGAACACAGCCCGTGTCAAAATAGAGCAAATCAACACGGGGTGTGTTGAATGAAAAATGGTCTTCAATCCTCAATTCCAACTCCAAAGTTCGATGCTCAAAACTGCTCAGCAAGGCCAACACGGCCCGTGTCAAATTAGGCTAAACGGACACGGGTCGTGTTCAGTGAAGTCAACAGCTCCAAATCTGGTCAACACGGCCCGTGTCCATTCTGTAGTGTAAGTCCAACACGGGTCGTGTACTCCTCTGACTCCGAATCCAAACTTGATTTTTTCAACTTTTCCGTTCTTCGCCCGATCATCCCGAAATCTTCACCAATGCTTCCCGGCACCTCCCAAAGCGCGTTCCAACCTCCGGTTTTACCTGAAAAAGACATGAAAGTGTGAAAATAAGGTTGTTCTAGAGACTAACATGAACATGATGAAATGCAAGACAAATGAAGAACAATTATGCTAAATAGATGCATACAAAGGGACTAAAATATGTGCAAAAAGGTGCACAAAATGCACTTAACAGGTACTATGCCAAATCATATTTTTGGCAGTGTGCCTCGAACAATATAAACGTCGTAGTCTCGGGGTCACAGGAAAGTACCGTAACACCTTATGAGCTACTTTCTTACCCTTGGTGTTTTTATCGATCCATGGGCTCTCTTTACAAACGGGACAAACTTGCAATGAATCGTGTTCTTTCCAAAAGAGAAACAATCATTTTTGCACACATGTATCGACTCATACCCCAGACCAATAGACTTCAGTTTCTTTTTGGCTAGATAATGTGAAAGGGGAACCTTGTTGCCTTTGGGAAATGTTGATTGCAACAACTCAAGGAGTTGATCAAATAAACTATCAGTCCATTTGTTGTTCACATTGATATGCATTAACTTTGCTAGAAACTCAAGGGAAGAAAAGGTGCAACCAGGATACAATTTAGTTTCCACTTCTTCTAACAATTGTGCAAAATCATCATCCACACCGCTACCCCTTGTATTCGAGGTTCCTTCATCGAGATTGGTATCATTTTCTCTCGACTCCCACATCACATCGTCGATTAAATCGGCCATTTCGTTACTTGGCAAGACGACTGGAGGAATAAATGATTCACCATGATAGATCCAAGTTTTGTACGGCTTACTGAAACCATTTATAAATATATGGCGTTCCACTACAGTCGGGTACTTGAAGTAACGGTTATCACATTTTTCACGCACATATGATTTTTACCATTACTATCAATGTGTGACTTGGACTTCTCGATAAAAGCTTTGAGTCTCCTGCTTGGAACTCGGGATAGTTTCGATGTGGATTACTAGTCCAACTTTTATCAATTGACATGATGTTGCTGAAACATAATTTCGGGTTTAGAGTTTAATATACAGAATTAGCATTGTTTTTTTTACAATTACTTGTAATTTATATAAGCAAAAGTTGTAAGTATTAAATAAAAGGGTCAAAGATCCAACGAATCAATTTTTTCCATACGTTTGTTTTATTTATTGTAGATGTACAAATATACACATGATTGTTGAAAAAAGAATTGTTTGTTTCTTTTAATATGTTTAGCGATTAGTTTTTATTGAATAAAATATTAAATAAAGCAAAATTAATAATTTGGTATATCCATAAAAAACATTTCTTACTATTGTACCTTTTTATATTTTTTTTATTTATAACATTTTTTTGTTTTTTTTCAATTATAGCATTGTACTTTAAACAATTATATTATGTTGTTGTGTTGTTCTTTTTTACCGTCGAGATTAAAAACTATATATATTTTTATTTATAGCATTGTATAAATATATTTTTTAATTATAGCATTCGTATATAAGTTTAGGAAGTTATTGGTTAATATATAAGTTTTGGAACTTATTGGTTAATTTGGGGTTAGTTTGGGAACAAACTATAAACTTTTTAGTATTCGTATATAGGTTTTTAAACAATTTTATAACATTTTTTTGTTTTTTTTTCTAATTATAACAATAATTTTTTTTTCAATTATAGCATTGTACTTTAAACAATTATATTACGTTGTTGTGTTGTTCTTTTTTACCGTCGAGATTAAAAAATATATTTATTTTATTTATAGCATTGTATAAATATGTTGCAAATAAAAAATTTAAAAACTAAAAAAGACATGAAAATATAAATATGAAACTATAGAAATATAACATTATAAGTTAAGTTAAAGATTATAAGTTAACTATAGAACTTATTGGTTAATTTGGGGTTAGTTTAGGAACAAACTAGAAACTTTCTAGTATTCGTATATAAGTTTTTAAACAATTTTATAACATTTTTTTGTGTTTTTTCCAATTTATAACAATAATTTATTTTTATTTTTTTCAATTATAGCATCCTACTTATACCAAAACCACATATTTTCACATAATACATAAGAGCATGAAATTCACATACTTTCACATACATATACCACATATACACCAAATACAAATACATTCACATACACACATAATAACATCCTACTTAGACCAAATACACATACTTTCACATATATAGATAATAACATCCTACTTATACCAAATACATAAATTTCACATTCATATACCACATATACAACAAACATACATACATTCACATACACACATAATAACATCCTACTTATAACAAATACATATAATTTCACATATATAGATAATAACATCATACTTCTACCAAATACTCATATATAACATATACATCAAACACACATACATTGACATATATACACCAAATTTACATAGATTCATACAAATATCAAATATAGATACATATGACAATTTTCACATAATTGATACAACTACACATAGCTTGCAATTAAACTCAAATTTCACAACAAATTGAAGTAAATAGAACCTGTAGTGGAGGAAATCAACGAATATGTCGCCGGAAAAATTCGTCTTCACCGGAAAATACCCTCACCCGTACAGTAAACCCAAAGACTAAACTAACAAAAACACTGAAATTGAAAAATAATTTTGCAATTAATCATCAAATGGAGCTAGAAGTCGAAGTTAGCAGAGAAAGACAAATAGATATAAGAACTTCAAGTTACCTTTTTTTCTCGAGATGGAGCTAGAAATCGTGAGTTAACCCGTTTAATTGAAGCCCTAAACACCTTTGATCCCTAATCTCACAATGTGGGGAGATTTCTTGTTGGAATCGTTGGAATCGATCGCAGAAAATGGGGCAAGAAGGAGCAGCAGCGTTTTGATCGAACACAGGAAGCAAAAGAGCAGAATGCGTCCGTTTTTTTCTTTTTATTTGTGATAGCCTTTAGCGGCGACTATGTAGGCTTTACCGGCGAGACACGTTAACAGCGGTGACTATCTGGAGGGAAGGGTAACGCGTCTTTTTTTAGACCACTATTAGCGGCGACAAAATGCCGTCGGTATTGGTTTTGTGCGGATAAGAGGCCCCAACCGTTGGATTAGATACTCGATCGAACTGCTAAGGTCTATCAGAAGGGGATAACGTGGATTCGGGTGAAAAATCTTTAGCGGCGACACAATTACCGGCGACACAGACTTTTAGCGGTGACTCTACCATTTGTCCCCGCTAAAAGCTTGTGTCGCCGATAATTGTGTTGCCGCTAAAGGCATGGTTTCTTGTAGTGTGTGTGTGTCATATATATATATATATATATATATATATATATATATATATATATATATATATATATTATATATATATATATTATTGCCGCAAAACCTTCTCGCGTACCGGCGCGACGGAGGAACGTAATATTCATGTGTGAATATTAACCACAACCAATGTGCCATATATATATATATATATATATATAGTATATAACTTTTTTTTTTTTTTTTGCCCCAAAACCCTTCAATATAACGGCGCGACGAAGGAATGTAATATTTATATCTGAGTATAAACCACCACTATTATATATATATATATATATATATATTATATATATATATATAATATTGTTGCAAAACTCTCCATCATACCGTTACAACGGATGAATGCAATATTTATATGTAAATAAGTATATGCATATATTAATATTATATGTTCCGTCGTCCCGGTACGTTCCTCCGTCGCGACGGTACGTTGGAGGGTTTTGCGGCAAAAAGAATATGTGGTCCAATGGTGGTTGCGTTAGTTACAGTGGTGGTGGTTTATATTCACGTATGAATATTAAGTTCCTCCGTAGTACCGGTATACGGTAGGGTTTTGCGGTAAAAAAAAATGTAGCCTAGTTTTGTTTTCGTGTTCACGATTTCATAAGTGTTCTTATTTGAACCTCTCTCTCTCTCTCTATATATATATATATATATATATATATTATATATAATATATATATATTCTTTTTTATCCAAACATATATGCATATATGTTTCTATCTCTGCTTTTCTCTCTCTAGCTTCTTGTAGATACACTCATGGCTACAAGGAGGGTTATAATTTGTTATATATGTATATAAATTAACTACATGCAAAGAAACATATACATGTATACATAGACATGCAAATATGTATAAGTTTAGGGTTTCAATCATGTATGCTTTTAATCTGCTTGCAGATAAAGACAGATCTACTTATAGAGAATAAAGAAGACTCATGAGGTAGCTAAAAAACGGGGTAAGACCATAGATAGTGACTCCTCTGATGTAAGAATAATTTCCTCAAGATTTTTTGCTTAATTATTTCCTACAAAAAATTACAAAATTTGATCAGTTTGTTGATTATATATATATGTGTGTGTATAACACAAGAGAGTAAAAAGAAAGCTACTTCTTTAAAAGCTAGACGTGGGTCTGTTTCTTTTGTTTTGTTTTCCTGAAATTGATTCTTCATCTCTTGGCTTCTTCTTCTTCTTTCCTTTTCTTGAATTCTCAAGTAAACAAATACAAAACCCTAAAAAAATGATGTTCACAGCATCGGTTTATTCTACTACTAGTAATAGAAACTCGACTTCTTTGTCTGAAGAAGCTGCACGAAGCACTGTTTCTTCAGCTGTTACAAGTAAGGCTCATCATGAATTCTCTCCATCAATGACACTTTCTTCAATTTCAAATCATGTTGATCAAGAACATGACCATCTCTACCGTAATCATCAGAAGATCAAGAAAAAGAGGAACCTTCCAGGAAACCCAGGTACAGATTTTACTAATCTTGATTTAGCGAAAATTATGATTTTGTAGTAAATTCTTCACACTTGTATATTAGTTGCAAAGATCGAAGGGGTGATCGCATTACTGCTGCTGTCACTCCTCTCACTTATCTGTAATTAATAAATGTGTTTAAAGTTTTAATAAAAAATCATAACCCCAAGAGACAAGTTATATACATATAATCGATGAGCAAATTTTGCAAACTCTATAAAACTTATTGCTCCGCTATTAATTTATACCCAAAAATAGTGGTATCTTGATGATCTTAAATCTTGATCATTAGTGGCTTAAGTGAGAAAAGTGCCAATGCAGAAGTAATGGCATTATTACCATCAGTGATTTTCTTGCTCAATTTATACCCCAAAAGAGTTCGTTTTGATTATCTTGATTAACTTAATTCTGTTTATCAAACAAAAGACCCAGATGCGGAAGTGATAGCATTATCACCGAAAACACTGATGGCAACAAACAGATTTGTGTGTGAGATCTGCAACAAAGGGTTTCAGAGAGATCAGAACTTGCAACTTCACAGAAGAGGTCACAATTTGCCATGGAAACTGAAGCAAAGAAATAACAAAGATGAGATCAAGAAAAGGGCTTATGTGTGCCCTGAACCTAGTTGTGTGCACCACCACCCTTCTAGGGCTCTTGGGGATCTCACTGGAATTAAGAAACACTTTTGCAGAAAACATGGTGAAAAGAAGTGGAAATGTGATAAGTGTTCTAAGATATATGCTGTTCAATCTGATTGGAAAGCTCATTCTAAGACTTGTGGCACTAGAGAGTATAGATGTGACTGTGGTACCCTCTTCTCCAGGTAAGTTTTACTTTTTTACCAATTTATTTACTTTTAAGCATTTATTAATGAACAATGGATGCATGCTTAATTAGGTTTTATATATATTTAAACTTATATCTTGTATATATGAAAGCTGAATTGAACACCCTTAATTGTTATGTGTTTCTGGAAGTGTATAACTGCGTTGGGCCATATAATTCGATATATGCATACACGTTGAAATGAAGCTACGTATTTGTTCTTTTCACCAACAAACGATTGTGCATGCATGAAATGAAGCTACATTTTGCAAAAATGAAGCTGCATGCATTTAGCAAAAGTGAGCAGTTCTAAACAAAAGGGGTCATGTACGACGGTTTTCGCATGCAAATCTTGACAATCTGTCCAAAGCCATTCATTTTTACAAAATACTATGTTTTTCTCCTACAAACTTAAAAATTCGTTTCATAAAGATTCATGATCAACAATGTCTTCAAGCTTATCACTAAATTGGGTAAATGTTTGCACACATGTAAGTAATTAGAATTTAATGCATTTTCTTTCCGTTTATTTGACTCATTTTCCTCCACTTTTACAAGTCTTTCTCTTGGTCTCATGTGCACCAAAATAGCAAAGGTTTTGCATGGAATAATATTGATACACAGCTAGAAGGGGGTTATAAATGCATTTAAGACAGATTGGCAGGAGTGAAATGGACACACTGATTATTACTTCCACTGTTTATTCTGTTGCTTTTTGATATATATATATATATATATATAATATATATATATATATATATATATATATATATATATATATATTATATAATATATATATATATATATATGCAACGATGCATCCACTCTGATCATGAAAGTGTTTGTACTTTGTTCTTTGTACAGTCATATTTTGTAAAGCGGTTATTTTGGAAACTAAAACTTATGAGTTTTCTTCATAACAAAGAAGCATCATTAACTCCTTTCATATGATAATATTGTTAGGCTTTTGTAATAGAGAAATTAAATATCCTCTTACCTTTTGTTTTTACCGACAAGTGTATAAATTTAATATCTCAATCAAATTTAAATTAAATTAAATGACACTTGTCATCATCTAAAATAGGTAGGAATATGGTAGACACAAAAAATAGGAGGATATTTAATTTCTCTTTTTGTAATAAGCTAGGTTGAATTTGACAAAGCCTTCTAAACAAAATATGTAGTAGTAAAGCAGCAAAGCCTAATTAATTAAAGATCCTCAAAATTTAGCATTAATTTAACGGAAATATTAATGATCATCGTAATTTATTATATTTTCTAACACGTGAAAAAAAAACACCAAAGTGCGTCAAAATAAGTAATTCTATTTGTCATACTCATCTTGCATCACAAAAAACACCGAGGTGATCAGCATATATAGCCCGGTGTTTTTCTTTATATTTTGGCGTGCAATTTATTATTAATTTGTTATAAAAAATATAGTTATTCAAGAAAAAAAGGACTCTAGAACAAGTTTAATAATGAAATCGTTACGTATACGTAGAGATGTCGAAATGTATTGGTCACACCTTTAGTAACATGTTAAAATAATTTCAAATATTGCAGCATCTAAATACAATGGGTTCATATATGTCGGCATATTTTTAATAACTATGGTATCAGTAAAACGATTTAATACCTTGCATGGGTTCATATGTCGGCATATTGTTATTTAATCAGTCTGATCATTTATTTTATTTTTAGGTAATATTTAAGTTTTACTTATTCCATCTTTAGGGGACACCAATTCGGAATAGTATTATATATTTTGAAGATAAAATATAATCCAAACTAATTAGTTCTTAAATCAATGAGTCAAAATAAGAAAAAAGGCAGATATAAACCATCTCTTGCGTGGCTGAGTAGTGTCACAAGGGGGATTGGTGTGTGAAGTTGCTTGTATAAGATTTAAATTTGTTATCTAGAAAAATAATAATAATAAACATAAACATATATAAGATAATGGTATTGAACAACTTGTTAATTGTATAGTTTCTTAGACCTATAAATAATGTGTCACTTTGTAGGATGATATGATAAAAAAATATAGCCTCCAAATTATTGTCCCTAATAGACATAAAATTGGACAAACATTTGGATGTTATTTATGAAAGTGAGTAGCATACAATGATGAATTTTCCTTTTTCTGCCTTAGAAAAAGTAGAAGCTCAAATCACTTTGGACTGCATAAATTCATGAAATTATAATTGGACCTGAATCTTTCATTTCACTAGTTTTTATATAAAAAAATCAACAAATATAACCTTAAAACCATTTTTTTCATTCATCAACTAATAAATGCTTCGTAATTTTCAATAATAAAAAAATAGAATGTACTGTAATAACAATCTTTTACTTTTCAACTTTTTATATGGCAAACACTAGAAAAATACAAAAATCAGGCAAGTCTTTTCCAAAGGTGAAATGATTGGATTTTACATGATGTATAATTTGTATTGCATGAAGTACAAGTTATTAATTTCTTGCTTACATTTATGGTGTATAGGAAAGACAGCTTCATTACCCACAGAGCCTTCTGTGATGCCTTGGCTGAAGAAACTGCCAGACTCTCAGCAGCAGCAGCAGCGGCTGCAGTATCAATAACTAACAACCACCACCCTTCAACTATCAATAATGTTATAAACACCCCCTTCAACATTCAACAGAATTCACAAAACACCCCATCAAATCTTTTCCCTTTCAATCCCACCCTAAACCCTACTTGGATTGTCCCCAACCAAAACGGTAACCCGGTTCGAATCAAACCCGAATTTATAAACCACCACCGCCACCAGCTACTTCCGGTAATTTCATCGCCATTTTACCAAGAACTCAATAAGGAAATTATGATAACTTCACCACCGCCGCCGTCCCCCACGATGCACAGCATCCACGTCAGCACCAGCCCTGATCATCTGCCGGCGCCGCACCTCTCCGCCACCGCGCTCCTCCAAAAGGCGGCGACGGTGGGTGTGGTGGGGGATCATGTGGGGTCGACGATGAGTAAGTTGGATATGGGGGAGTTGGTTCAGGTGACAACTGCTGCCGTGATCTCGCCGGAGTACCACCAACATATGGGTCTCGTGTCTGGGAATATCGCCACGTGGCAGAAAACGGACCGTTTGACTAGGGATTTTCTTGGGTTGACCGGTGATCAAGAGAATGACGACCATGGCGGTGGGGTTGAGGCTAACGTGAACGTGGGAAACATGTTAACGTACACGGGGGGTATAGAGATCCCAGACCATGGGTTCGGTTTTTCCGAGCCTACAACTGCCTCGGAAGCATGGGGCAACTGTTAGAGCTGAAAGTACAAGTGATCAAGCATGGTTTTTGGCAACAAAGGGTAGAATGGTAATATACCAAACGAAGTTGAAATGACAGATATAACCCTCAGGCCCTCAAGAACGAAATGATTATCTTTGAACAAGAGGACACTCTCGCTCTTTCCAAATTTCCACATATCTTTCATGCTCATTATTTGCTTTTTGTCGGGAAATTTCTTGAATTTAAACTTCAATGTTTAATCTGTTAGTTCATAATTTGATTTTTTTTTTCTTTCATTTCCTCAAATTTTTACATTTCATTTACTCAAACTTTTATAGTTTCTTTTAAATTTTTATCACTTTTTTAAAAAAAAAAGTCTCGATTATTTAATTTTACACGATAATCTGTTATTTTCTATTAAAATAAAAATAATGACTTTTTCGCTAATTTGGACAAAATATTAAATAATCGAGACTTTTCTGTTAAAAAATTACGATTTTATCAAAAAAATTTCCAAAATAATGGGATTTTTCTGCATCCCACTATTATTTTATAGGTGTCACTACTACTAAATGATTCTACCTCCGTCATTGTTTCCCTATATTTTATTGGTGAAACATGCAATAATTAAAGATGTATTTTTTACTAACTAGACACCAAAATAAATTTCTACCAAATTATAAGACGTGTTCGGCAAAACTAGGTTGTAAGCTTTTAAAACATGTAAAATTACATAGAATGACTTATCTAAAAGTTACTTGAAACTTTTTATTTAAACTAAAAGCTAGAAGTTCTTACTGTCGAACGAATTTTTTTCCCGAGTTTTTCTTAATAGCAAAAGGTTAGAAACTCCCAAAAATTAGGTGCCAAACATGTCCATAATCTTTTGTTTCGGTGGTTGTAGTTTGACTACTTATAAAAGAAAAATCAAAAGATCAGTTAAATAAATTACTCAAACGTACTAATAGATGAAACAATCACTTAGCAAATATAAACCCTAACCACGACCATAAAAAAGATAAACAAAAAATTAAATACTATCATTCAACATTTAACAATTACCCCTTCACTTATTTGATGATATACAGAAACAAGGTCAGTGGGATGCAAATCGATAAACACAAACATACAAAAATAATGACAAAAAAAAAAGAATAGAAAACAAGCATAAATATGTTTAGCTGAAAAACTTGTTGCTAGCTGATAAGCTAGTTGTTGACTGATAAGGTAGCTTCTTAATTAATAGTATTTGTTAAAAAGTAGCTTCAACATATAACTAAAAGAAAAAAAGAATAAATATAAATTATGACATATTTTGATTATTTAAAAAAAAACTTCATAAGCTTATCAAAAGTTATCTCAAAATAGTTTATCAAAAGATTGCTTATAAGCTAGTTCATAAACTAAAATAAGTTATTTTTGTGATTTTACCAAACAGTAAGCTAGAATAAAGTAGCTTATAAGGTATCTTATTTTGGTCAAAAGGCACCTTAGTGTTGCATATGAATTTTGGTAATTTAGAGACCTTGAGGATCTTCTTTATTTTTGCTCCGATCCTATAATATGTTTGGACCGGTTCTAGTTTTGTTTTCTGCTGAAGTGTTATGGACAAAATAAACCTATCGGGTTGACATGTATATACTTATATAATGGGTTAATTGACTAATATAGTAAGTTAGTAACCAATTGTTGTAGTTTTATTAAGTAGGTAACAAACTTTGGTATTTGCCAATTAAATTGTTAAACTAACATCTACGATTGTTTGGTACTGAAAATACTCAAGGTAACTTGTTAGTTAATTAACATGTATAATCTTTATGTTAAATATGTCACTGAACTAATATTTTTATGTCAATTAGGTCAATAAAATGACAATATTATTTCAATTGGGTAAGTAAAGTAACACTTTTAAGCACTTTGTTAAACCCCATAAACATATAGTGAACCAATAGAAAGATTTATATTCTGATTTGTGTTGAAACTAAAAATCCAACAACAATATCTACGAGTGAAAGGATAGTGAAGATAAATTCAAAGGAACATAGCCTTTTGTAAAGGCTAAGTCAAGGTAAAAACCTGTGGTAAGCGTGAGCATGTAAAGGAAGTAAGTGGTGGTCCGGCGAGATAGACTGGTGACGACAAGATCAAAAGGAAAACAGGAAAAGGAAATAATTAAGAGAATAAAAATTAAAAGAAAATATAAATATACCAAAGGCAAAGGAAGGCAAATGTCAACGGCTATTAATTTTTGAAAGTTCTTGACAACATAAATCATGGGGATTATAATCCTTCTTAAATTCCGTGCTATTGGAGTGCACAACAGGATGACCCACCAACCACATGTCCAAAACTGGATTCATGGAATACGAAACCTATTTTACTGGCAGATTGTCTGGTATGTTATCGGCTTCCTCAGTGCATCAACATGTTGCACTATCGCTACACGTAGTTGTATTCTGCTTGGAAATAAAAGTTCCTATTATGATGTAAAACTAATAAAAAACTTAGAAGATGCCAAAATCCAATAAAAATTTTAATTAGGGGTTGCATTCATGTACAAGAGTTAGTAAATGGAAAAGTTCACGTTGCATGTTATAACAAGAAATTTTTATCTGTGTTTGTTTTTTTATTGGAGTTTTTTTTATGGAAACTGTTTCTTAGCATAAAATGATCATATGTATGAACTATGATCCTAATTTTGATAACCAAATATTAACAATGAAGTTTGTTAATTTTTTAAAACGTTCATAATAAGTGAAAGCTTAATTGGTTAACAAGATAATCTAGTCGGGCTAATCAATTTTTTAGGTTTAGATTTAATAAAAACACGAGTCTGGTTTGATTATGAAAAACAAACTATGATGACCTTTTGATGATGTGTCAAATGCATGCCAAGTAGGCGCCATTTCAGCAAGGTTAAACCACCGGTCAACACAGAGGGAAATGAGTAAAGGGATGAGAGCATATTGTGGGAAAAGACTAAAGAGGGTGGAATAGTGGTCCTTAGAGAGAGAGGTTAAAGAAAGGGGTTCATGGGACATACAAAGCTTTTAGAAAGTATAGATGTTAAGGTACATTACATACTATTTGCCTACAAGAAAAGACTGCATATTAACCAGACAAACCAAAAGGCTTAAGTACTCTTCTCTTTCTTTCTTTATCTAAAAAAAAACTTACAGTTTATTCCTCATGACAAGAATCTCATCTCTTACCTTTTCCTTCTTTTTTTTCTACCTTCCAATCCCAATAATTACCAATTGCTTTTTTCACTTTCTTTTATCTAAATTTCACAACTTTATTTACTTGCATATTACAAAAAGCTGACAGACTACATACACAATATAGTTAGCAAAAGAAAAGTTAAAGAGGAAGATAACCCACCAAAGAATACCAAGTGCGTGTACTTGTAATGGTTCATCAACAAGCATTCATATTTTCGGTGAGTTTCATAAAATAAGAAACTATATATTCAAAGGTGTTTATACTGATTATTATGACTTAAAATCACAATTAGGAATTTGATATAATGCAATTGATGATATGTATGTATCATGAATGATGAGTTGTGGAAAAAGGGAAGAATATGAGTGGGTAGTCAAAAAAGCGTATGAAATTGAGATGATATGAAACTACTCACAAAGACTAAATTAAAATGTGTGAGTATATATCGATTTGCATATTGAGAGAAAAAAGGGGGACCAATTTCTTTAAATAATAGAGGTCCTAATCCACTTATGGATTTTGGCCCATTGAACTTTAATTTGATGATTCCCAGAATTCAGTCAGTTACATTCTTGAATGAATGAATGAATGCATTCAGCCTGCAACAAAATATAAAGCACGTTAAAATGTGTTTGGAACATGCACAATAAAGCCTGTCTTGATATATCAATGTTGCTTTTGATTTCAGTGAAAATTTGTTTTTTTGTAAAATCTTTCAACAAATAAAGTGGGGGATGTGTGTTTTCATAGTGATTAGTATGACTCTATGAGTTTCAGAATGCGCCCTTGAAAACTATCCATAACCAATCGATGGCTAGAAAATGAACTATCGCTTAAAACTGAATGAAGCAGTGAAACTCTGCAACACGCACATTACATATATATGTTGATTATTGCTTCAAATCTAAATCCCTAATATGGTATAGTGATTAGTTCGATATGAAAACCGAAAGTTATCAGTTTGAAGACAAACCCTGTAACTGGTCATGGCCGTTGGTTAGAGAGATTCCACTAATTGACAGCCTCCCCGCTGTAAATTCATCCAAGAAAGTAGAAACTACGATCACAATTTACAAATCAGTGAAAAAGACTTAAAATTTCCCTCTTTCCGTCCAAAGAAAAACGTGTGTTTTACTTTCCTTCCTATACTCGGTGCATAATTCTTAATAAATTATGTGTTCGTTAAAAGTAGGGTTTTGCTTTGTGTAAGTATAATTTCGTAATTGTAGAATAATGTAGAAAGCGAATGGTTGATTTATAATTCCAGATATTTCATGATAAATATGTTCACTCCTCAAGATGTTCAAGATAAAAGGTTTCTTACAGCTACATTTTGGGCTTGTAGTTGTATACTAACATAGTAACATGTGACGGATGTCAATGATGTAGTTGGGTTTCGTATTTATGTCAAATAAAAAAAACGGGCCCAAAACGATTCTAGTGGCCTTTTAGTCCACAAGTGATTAACCCAAGAGGCTAATCTTAGCTCATGAATAAAGAGGAACAAAAGGAATCGAAGAAAAAAGGTAAATTGTAAAATTAGTTAATCTGATGTCCTAGAAAATACAGAATTATTTTTAATCCGCATGATCAGTCTAAAATTAAAATTTATGTGTAAATTTGGTTCCTCGAGTTAATTGTCGTCTAAAAAACGACTCAAACTGCATTTTTTGGAATTCCATAGTAGGGATGTTCGCGGTGCGGTTGGGTGCGATTTCGAGCCAAGTCCGCAACCACACCGCATGTACGGTTTAAGATTTTTGAAAACCGCAAACCGCGCCGTCAAGGTTCTAAACCGCGTTATGCGGTGTGGTTTTATGCGAACGGTTTATACGGTTTTTGTACGGTTTTATAAACAAATACATTTTTTATGTTATGAATTTTTAGTTCCACGTGGATTAAACTAAATTTAATTATTTATATTATAAGATTTATGACATAAACATTATATATAAGAGAAATTAAACTAAATAAACAACTTAAAACAAATTTGTTTATAAGAAATCATTACTTCAAA